AGGCCAGCCACGAGCCATGACCGCTCTCAAATGTGGTAGCCGGGGCTGGGACTAGGGCACAGCAAGAGAGGCACATAGGACACACTGTTGAGGAGATGCTCACTCTCCCCTGCAAGAGCCTCCCTAAGCGACTGTCTCCTTAAATTTTGCACCCAGGTGGCTTTGGCTTTCTTGCCTCACTCTGAGGCCGGTCTCCTGCAGGATGGCAGCAGTGTGCTTGAAAGATAGGGTAGCCCATGGGGTGGGCTCAGGAGCAGCGAACAGTAGATTGTGAGTACAAGGTGGGAGTGAAACCCTGCACCTGTTATTCTAATCACTGTAAAAAAATAAAAACAGAACAAAAGAATTTTCTGAAGCAGGCTGGAGCTACACTCTGTAAATGTGGTTTTAATAAGCTCTTTATCGCACTCACTGCAGATTCTTTCCTTGATATGTTGGAATGGCAAAGCTTTTTATGAATTTAATGCCCACTCCTAATATAAAAGACTTATTAAAGTAAATAGTGGGGAGGTGAGTGGGAGGATGGAGTAACTGGGTGATGGGCATTAAGGAGGTCACTTGAAGTAACAAGCGCTGGGTGTTATATGCAACTGATGAATCACTAAATTCTACCTCTAAACTAATAATATGCTATATGTCAATTAAATTGAATTTAAATAAAAAATTAAAAGAATAAAGTAAATGGTGATTTTTGGAGAAAATTTTAAATTCCTAAAACTCTGCCTTAACTCCTGTATTCTAGAGTTACTATTACAAAGTACCATCAGGTAGGTGGCTTAAAACGATAGAAATGTATCTGCTCACAGTTCTGGAGGCTAGAAGTCTGAGACGAAGTTGTGGGCAGTGTGGATTTCTTGTGAGGGCTGTGACGAGCAATCCGCCCCGTGCCTCTCCCTAGCTTTGGGGATAGCTGGCAATCCTTGGCGTTCCTTGGCCCACAGATGCATCATTCAGTGTGTGTTTTCACCCCGCCTTCTCCCTGTGTATGTGTCTTTCCTGCTATGAGGACTCGGGGCATATTGGATTAAGGGCTCACCTGACTTCTGCATGACCACCCTCTTCAGGGTGACAACTGCTTCAGTGTGGGCCCATGCCAACCCCCTACACAGTGCAGGACTGCGTGAGGGGGGAAGGTGCCAGAGGAACTGTGGGTGCAGGAGGGACAGTTCCCAGGTTCTTGGGGGAGGGCCTCACACTTGGGGAGGGTCAGAGGGGCAGTTATCTTCCTGTTGGGCTTTTTGACCCGGGCCCCCACAACCCTGGCTCTGGAGGAGCTGGTTCCTCAGCGTTCCCCTGTGCACCACCCTCAGCTGTCCAGAACCTTTCTTCCCATGAGTTTGGGCAAAGCCATTTTATTCGGATGGTTTCTCCTGCTGACCCTGTGGTGCTGAGACTCTCCTATTGCTCTCAGTGCCAGTCAGGCAGGCTCATTCCGTGGGCCCTCTTGTCCCTACTTCGGAACTAACGCTGTAGGGATGATGATGTGTTTAACTTCTCTGTGTGGCTGGGGCACAAAGTGCTCTTTCCATGGCATGGGTCCATGGCATGCTTGTTTGGTTAGCCTTGGTGGCCATGCTTGGTCAGTGCCCGTCAACCCCTTGGGGTCCAATTCAGTGTGCAGACTCAGTCCAGCTCCCTGTGGTCTCCACAGGCTGCAGTATTTCTTGGAGGCCAGGCTGGCAGGGTAGCCTGACCACTCTTTCCACGTCTCCAGCTTCCTGGGAAGGAAAGCTGCCCTGAAAACGTGCTGTCTCAAGGGGTCAGGAGTGGGTGGGGCCTTAGCAGCAATTCAGCAAGTGCTCTGGTCTCCTAAGCAAACATTATGCATAATGTCCCTGTTCCTTTTTCATATTTTTAAAACTATTATTTAATTATACAAATATAAAAGGAGAGTTGGGGCTAAGAGAAAAAACACATTTTTTTTATTGAGAGAGAGAGAAAGAGAGAGTGCATGCAAGAGGTGGGGAGGGGCAGAGGGAGAGAGAGAATCTCAAGCGGACTCTGTGCTGAGCTCAGAGCCCAACAAGGATCACCGGGGAGGGGGGAGGAGAGAGGGAGGGGCTCGATCTTATGACCTCGAGATCATGACCTGAGCTGAAATCAAGAGTCAGGCACTTGACCGACTGAGCCATCCAGGTGCCCTGAAAAAACACATCTTTTAATTACCATTTCCAGCATAAGTTCTTTTATTTTTGAGATCTTTCCAGGTTTTCTCTTTTCTTTTCTTTCATTTTTTAAAGGTTTTATTTATTTATTTGAGATAGAGAGAGAGCGAGTGTGCCAGGGGAGGGGCGAGGGAGAGCGAGAGAGAGAATCTCAAGCAGACTTCTCTAGGAGCCTGACGCGGGGCTCGATCTCAAGACCCTGAAACCATGACCTGAGTTGAAACCGAAAGTCGGCCACTTAATCGACCAAGCCACCCAGGCACCCCTGGTTTTTTCTTTTTTAAAAGGTAATTAAAATTTTTTTCATAGTCATGTTTTATTCATACCACATATATATCACAAATTATATTTTATACATTGTGTGACCATTAACATAGATCTATTATTATTTTTATGAATTTTTCTTTTAAATCATAAAACCTGTAATATTTGCTGTTGCTTTTATATTTATGTATTTAGAGTGCTTTTCCCCAGTCCTTTTTATCATCATATGTCTTCAAGTTTCTCTCTATTGTCCTTTCGTTTCAGCCTGAAGGGCTCCATCTAGCTTTTCTTTTTTTTTTTGTATTTATGGATTTTTTTAAAAAATTGAAGTGTAGTTGACACATAATGCTATGTTAATTTCAGATGTGCAACAGAGTGAACTGACAAGTCTATACATTACGCTAAGTTCACAAGTTTAGCTGCCATCTGTCACCAGGCAAGGCTATTACAATACCCTTATTCCCTGTGCTGTGCCTTTCATCCTCATGACTTATTCATTCCATGACTGGGAGCCTGTATGTCTTCTCCCTTTCACCCATTTTGCCCATCCCCCCCACCAAACTCCCCTCTGGCAACCATCAGTTTGGTTTCTGTATTTATGGGTCTGTGTCTGCTTTTTTTGGTTTGTTTGTTCATTTTGTTTTTTAGATTCTGCATATAAGTGAAATCGGATGGGATTTGTCTTTCTCTCTCTGACTTATTACACTTAGCATAATACACTCTAGGTCCATCCGTATTGTTGCCGGTGGCAAGATCTCATTCTTTTTTATGGGTGAGTAATATTCTGTGTGTGTGTGTGTACTCTATCTTCTATTTTTTCCATCTACCGATGGACACTTGGGCTGTTTCCATATCTTGGCTACTGTAAGTAATGCTGCAATAAACATAGGGGTGCATGTGTCTTTTCATATTAGTGTTTTCATTTTTTGGGGTAAATACCCAGTGGTGGATTTACTGGTTCATAAGGTATTTCTATTTTTAATTTTCTGAAGCACCTCTATTGTTTTCCACAGTGGCTGCACCAATTTACCCACTTAGGCCTGTTGTACACAGAGAGTTAGTTTATTATCAGTCTTGTATATTATGCTTGCTTTATTTTACATCTGTACTCATCAGTGGCAAAGCTGGAAACCCCGCTCTGTGGGCTGGTGGGCAGTGGGGAAGGTGGAGAGGCTGGGATCCCTGTATCCAGCCATGGTAGCTCTTCCCTGCCCGGGGCCAGGCCTATCTTCTTAGGCCTTAGGGGCTGTGGTGGGACATGTTTGGACGTCCTTGAATTGCAGGCTCCTGAGAGTGAGTTGGAGTTCATGCCCTGTTTCCCCGTGTTCGGGCAGGCGTGGCTGAGGTGTACTCGCCCTGCTCAGATGCTGGTGGGCATAGGGTTCAGAGTGTTGCAGGTCCCTTGGAGGAAGCAACTTTGGAGAACTTGGCCTAAGTCAGATATTCTTCTTCTGGAAGACCTGAGACATTGTGTCATTTCTGGAGGAAAATGACAGTTGAATTTGGATGGCTCTGATGTAGTTCACAGACTAGGCTGACACTGATATTCTTGGGGCTCGCCCCTCAGCTAGAATGGCCCTGCCCCACATACAGCTCTGTTCTGACCGCTGTGCCAGACAGACCCATCCTGAGGACTCCTAGGGGTCATCCCTCCCCCTCCCTCCTGAGCTCTGCTGCTTGGGAAGTTTTCCTCCCTCCCCCTTGGCACAGGCTCCCCCAGCTGCAGAGCCAGTATTGAGGGGGATGATAATGATGAGGTAGAAGTGGTAGCAGTGGATGATAATGATGAGGTAGAAGTCCTGCCTGGGGCCGTTTCTAGAAACATTCCTGGGGAGTTGGCTCTGGTGCGTCTATGCCCTGAACCGCAGTGGTTGGGACACGGGTTTTGAGGAAAGAGGAAAACTGAGAGGAGGAGGAGGAGGAGGAGGAAGGGGAAGAAAGTAAATTAATGCAACATCACTCTGCATGTTAAATCCTATGTGCAGATCAAAATATTTTCTTCAATAATCCATAATATCACACAATGTACAAGGTAATTAGGAGGGAAGATTATTAATCTGGCAAGAAAGGAGCCCAGAACAATCCATTTAGGCCAGAGAGGAGTATCTGGACTCCTCCGTCGGAGCAGACCGGCTCCATGGGAGAGAAGAGTCACACGCACATGCTGAAGGCAGCATGTTTATTGAAGTTCGCTGGGGGTACAATCAGTAGGGGCTTTGTGTGCCTCCGAGAGGCTCCCTGGGGCTCAGGCTGGGGCCAGGCCCTGTGGAACCTGGATCGGCCCAGGGAGGCCTCTGGCTTTGGGACTCTCACACAGGCTGGCCGGGCTTCCATGACTATATGTTCTTTTTTTTTTTTTTTTAAAGATTTTATTTATTTATTTGACAGAGAGAGACAGAGCGAGAGAGGGAACACAAGCAGGGGGAGTGGGAGAGGGAGAAGCAGGCCTCCCCATGGAGCAGGGAGCCCGATGCGGGACTCGATCCCAGGACCCTGGGATCACGACCTGAGCCGAAGGCAGACGCTTAACGACTGAGCCACCCAGGCGCCCCATGACTATATGTTCTTTAAGATTTTATTAATCCAGGGCACATATGGGGAGATCCGAGTGAAGACAGAAAGTGGCTTTGCATCTTCAAGTCCGTAAGACACAATATGTTGGGCCACACCTGCACACAACAGGGGGCCCCCAGAATCCCCCTGTGGGTTAGAGAAAGCAGATCGTGAGCAGGGAATGTCCTTCTCTTCCTACTGTCACCTGATCCTGGTTCTATCAGCACCCTAGCCAGCTCCTAGATACCCCAGAGTCAGATCAGGATCCTGGCTCCTCATGGAATCCTAAGTTAGGAGATTAATGTCTTATTCCTCTCTGGCATGGAACTACAACTCTAGATCCTGTCCCTTCCATTTCTTCCTTTCTCTCCTGGAGTCCTGTTCAGGAGAGTAGAAGGGAGGGTTAGAGGCAGGGCTTGAGTATGTGAGGATGGAACCCCGAGGGAGGATTCCAGCTCCCATGTTGCTAGAAACCCACAGACTTAGGCACCACTCACTGTACTAGGGGACTTCCCGACCCCACCCCCTCCCAGGAGGTTGCTGTCTCCCAGGGACTGCGTTGTGAGGAGGAAGTGGAGGTGTGTGGTCACCTTGTATGCTGATCTTGTCTTCCTGGGATTGCCCACACAGATTTGTAAGTTATGGTTATAAAAGAAATAGAGGTTGCAGGCCCTGGTGTCCATGAGTCTCAACTTCACCTCCCTCAGAGTATCTGACACCACCTCCATCACTCCCGTTCTTCCCCACCCAGCCGCCCTGCACATTCTCCCAGGTGAAATAAAGGTAGACCAGGTGAGCAGGGAGATTGTCCCTATGGCGTGGGTCAGCTTGGCTCTCGTTTGTAGTTGTGAGGGAGGGAGAGGAGATGGACCTCCGGTCCCAGGGAAAGTGGGGGGTGTGCTGTGGTAGGGGCTCCCTGGGCAGGGCCAAGAGTTGCTCCCCAGTGGGGTGGTGATGACACAGAGTGGGAGGGTGGGCCCCAAGGAAATGGTTTGGAAGAGAGAATGAGAAATGCACAGGTCAGGCAGGAGAAAGGTTCAAGAAGGGGGGGTGGAGATGGGCTGGAAAGCTAACGGCACCTTCAGTAACATGTCATTGAGTTTGGTGAACGAGCTGTAATTTGGGTGAATGATTTGTTCTGAGACTTCTAGCTTCTGCCATGTGGATTCTTCCTGTTTTATGTCATGAGCTCCCAGAGTGACAGTAATTTTCCCGTTGAGAAGGAGGAGAGAAACAGGAGAAGGCGCTGGTCCCCTAGAAAGGGTCCCCTTCTGAGCAAGGAGACAGTAGGCTCTCTTCTTCCCCAGTGCAGGGCCATCTGAGGAACTCAGGTCTTACTCGGGACAGAAATGCCCACCTGGGATCATAGCCAGTTCAGGAAGGGCCAGGCCCTGGCAGCTACAGGGTACTGAGAGACTCAGCTGGCAGCAGGACAAGAGGGCCAGCATTGGCCTGCTGTGACCCAGGTGCCCTGAAGAGGGCGGTGGCCTCTGGAGGTGGAGATAGCAAATGAACATGGGCTGGTTGCTTGCAATATACATTGCTGACCATCTTGAGATGAGCAGGGCACAAGAATCTCTCCTCAGGCCATTTTGAAGCTGTGTGTAACTCTGGTTCCTATAGCTCCTCACATGAAAAGAGAGTAAGTCAAAGTTTTCTTACCTTCCTTTACAATGAGCAGCTATCATCACGAACTCTTGACTTAGGAGAAACCTGCCACAGCTGGCAACATACCCCTCGTCAGTGACCATTTCCAGAAGGGCCATGTAGGGGCGGGAGCGTGGCTTGGACTCAACGCCACTGATAATTTCCTCTCAAACAGAGAACCCCTAAACAGAGGCTCACTTGCTTTCAGACAGAGCACTGGGTGAGGAAAAGGAGGTGGAAGCTGAGGGCCCCCAGAGCTTCTTTCTTACTTCTTATGGAGCTCAGCTCTCCATGTGTCCTTATTGTTCACTTTCTTGACCCCAATCCGCCCCATCAACCTACCCTCAGCCTACTTTCAGAACTTGATTGTTAGTCTTGATTCTGAGCTGTCATTTAAACGTTTCTTTTCTTTTCAAGATTTTATTTATTTATTTGAGAGAGTGAGAGAGAGCTGTGCATGAGCAGGGAGAGAGGCAGAGGGAGAGGGACAAGCAGACTCCCTGCTGAGTGGGGAGCTGGACGGATGTGGGCTCATCCCAGGACCCTGAGATCATGACCCGAGCGAGCCAAAAGCAGACAGACGCTTAACTGACAGAGCCACCCACGTGCCCCTAAACATTTCTTCATGTCTCTATCCTGACCTCCTCTCAGCAAGCACCAAGAACTGGGAATGAGAATGGTGCCTATTTTGAAGAAAGCAGTTTAGGAGGAGTTTTCAAAGCCAGTTTTCTGATTCTTTCTCCACCCAAGACTTCTGATCCCAGGGAAACTGTCATCAGCTGCAGGGAAAGAGTCTGACTCTTCCAGCTGGAGATTTCTCCCTAGAATACTTGCAATGGGATCTTGTAGCCTCTTTTGAGGTCTTCTTTGACAGGGAGTTACACCCTAGACTCACCAGCTCCAGCTTCAGGAGGCAAGAGAATGGCCAGCAAAAGAAATAGAGCCTGCATTTTCCCAGGGATGGTGTCCATGGTGAGCTTCCTCTGTCCCTGCCCTCCCTTGCCCCTGCTTTTATAATCCCAGCAGAAGAAAGGGGAGGACTGGAAACCACAGAAACAACCTAGTCACATTTTTGTTTTTCACTTTGGCCTGGCTATCTTCTTCATCAGAAATTCTTACAACCCTCTTCTCCTCTCTGCTGGTGTTGAGGCTGTGGTCAGAGCCCAAGGGTCCTGTTTACTAGGATGAGGCATGCACCTTTCCCATCTAACATAGCTCTCTTGAGGCAGCATAGTAACACAGATGGGGGGTAGATTAAAATTTTATTTTTTATTTTTAAAAAAGATTTATTTATCTATTTGAGAGAGAAAAAGCAAGCAAACACGTGAGTGGGGGGAAGGCAGAGGGAGAGGGACAGAGAGAATCTCAAGCAGACTCCCCGCTGAGCATGGAGCCTGAGGCAGGGCTCGATCCCAGGACCCCAAGATCATGATCTGAGATGAAATCAAGAGTCCTCAACCAACTGAGCCAGCCAAGTGCCCCTTTATTTTTTATTATTGAAGTATAGTTGACATATCATCTTCTATTAGTTTCAGGTGTCCAACGTAGTGATTCAGCAGTTCTATACGTTACTTAGTGCTCCCCATGATAAGGGTACTCACCATCCATCACCATACAATGTTATTACAATATTATTTACCATATTCCCTATGCTCTACTTTCTATTTCCATGACTTACTTATTTTATAAAATATGAATAAGAATATATAAATATATGTAAAATATATTTATGAAATAAGGATGTATAAATAGAAAGTATTTATAAAATATAGGGATGTATAAATAAAATATATCTATAAAATATAAATATAAATTTTATAAATAAGGAAGTTTGTACTTCTTAATCCCCTTCACCTGTTTTGCCCATTCCCCCACCCACTGCCCTTCTGGCAACCACCAGTTTGTTCTCTGTATTTCAGAGTCTGTTTTTTGTTTATTTGTTTGTTCATTTTTTTTGTTGTTTTTTAGATTACACACATAAGTGAGATCATATGGTGTTTGTTTATATCTGTATTACTTATTTCACTTAGCATAACACCCTCTAGGTTCGTCCGTGGTGTTGCAAATGGCAAGATGTCATTCCTTTTTAATAGATGTGTAATATTCCACTGCACAAGCACACGTGTGTGTACTGTATCTTCTTTATCCATTCATCTATCAATGGACAGTTGAGTTGCTTCCATATCTTAGCTATTGTAAATAATGCTGCAATAAATGTAAGGGCACATATATCTTTTTGAATTAGTGTTTTCATTTTCTTTGGGTAAATACCCAGGGCTGGAATTATTGGATCATAGGGTATTTCTATTTTTAATTTTCTGAGAAAACTCCATACTCTTCTCCACGGTGGTTTACATTCCTACCAACAGCACATGAGGGTTCCCTTTTCGCCATATCCTTGCCAACAGAGGGGCGTTGGTTTAGGTGATGTAAGAATCTAGAATAGGGATCAGCAAACTTTTTCTGTAAATAGCCACCTAGTGAGTGTTTTCAGCTTTGCAAGTCATACTGTCTCTGTGGCAACTATTCAACTCTGTTGTTGTAGTACAAAAGCAACCATAGATAAGATGTAAACAAATAGGTGTGACAGTGTTCCAATAAAACTTTATTTTATTTTATTTCATTCATTTATTTATTTTTTAAAAATTTTATTTATTTTTGAGAGAGAGAGAATGACACAGAGAGAGAGATAATGAGAGGGCTGAGGGTCAGAGGGAGAAGCAGACTCCCTGCTGAGCAGGGAGCCCGATGTGGGACTCGATCCCGGGACTCCAGGATCATGACCTGAGCCAAAGGCAGTCGCCCAACCAACTGAGCCACCCAGGCGCCCTAAAACTTTATTTTAAAAACAGGTGGCGGGCCGATATGGCTTGAGGGCCATAGTTTGCCAACCCCTGATCTAAAAGATCAGCCCTTTCTTCAGTACAAATAATCAGTAGAAGAACAGAATGTGGCAGTGAGAGAAAGAAGGAAAAATGGAGAATTTATTGACTACCCACAATATGTTTGGTGCTGATAGAACTTTACATGCATCATCTCATTTGTAATAGTCCTTTTGGGTAAGTATTATTATACACAATTATGGAGCACTCAAGCGAAGCTCAGGATGTCACATAGCAGCAAGATCCAAATCTAATATGTCAGATTCTGAAACTTATACTCTTTCCATTCCACTAATCTGAATAACAAGGGATGTGGGATGAGGTTAGTCCAATTAACAGAGAAAGGAATGGAATGTATAAAGGAGAACAGTTGTGTTCTCTAGGGGGTGTTGGGGTTTCCCACTTGTGCATTGAGAGTCACACTTAGTTTGATAACCATATGATATCTGCACTTGTCATTATTTGAGATATTACTCTGGGCTCTCATTCGTTTATGTGCATTGAGAAAGGAAAACGTTGTTCTTTTCTTTTTTTAAAGATTTTATTTCATTTATTTGAGAGTGAGTAAGCACATGAGGAGCAGGGGGAGGGGCAGAGGAGAGGGAGAAGCAGGCTCCCTGCTGAGCAGGGAGCCTGACCCGGGCTGATCCCAGGACCCTGGGATTATGACATGAGCCAAAGGCAGATGCTTAACCGACTGAGTTACCCAGGAGCCCCAGGAAAAAGTTGTTCTTGACTAAACAATAACATGCCATTGATTACAAGATTCTTTCCTGTTGTAAAGGGGTTAAAATGTAAAATATTGTGCATTTTGGAATCAATGAAATATGATATATTGCAAGTATCTCATTCACTCTCATATCAGGCTTGAGAGCTATTATTGTTTTCATTTTACAGACGAGGAAACTGAGGCTCACAGAATTTGAGTCCCTTGACAAGATTTCAAAGCCAATAAATATCAGAACTAGGTGTCAAACACATACCTGTTTGACTTCAATCACATAATCTTTCCACATATCACCCTGCTTTCCTAGACTGTAAAAACAAAACAAAACAAAACAAAACAACAACAACAAGAATCTAGATAGGATTACTCTACCAGTTCCCACAATTTTATAAGATGCAATCCTTATAAGAAGTCCCTTATTTTACATTACTCATAGTGGTTCTGCTTTTCTTGATTGAACTCTAAATAATAGAGATATTGGGGAACCTGGGTGGCTCAGTCGTTAAGCGTCTGCCTTCAGCTCAGTTCATGATCCCAGGGTCCTGGGATTGAGCCCTGCGTTGGGCTCCGGCTCAGCAGGAAGCCTGCTTCTCCCTCTCCCTCTCCCACTCCCCCTGCTTGTGTTCCCTCTCTCACTGTTTCTCTCTCTGTCAAATAAATAAATGAAATCTTTAAAAAAATAAATAATAGAGATATTGGCACTGGAAGTGAGTTCAGAAGAACCTACACTTAGGTTCTGTAACTTGGCTTGGGTTATCTATTGCAGGTTCTCTAATCTGAATATATTTCAAGGCACTGCTGTAAGTGGTAAAGCATATTAGTTGTAAGTTGTAAGTAACCATTATGGCATACAGAGCAAACCTATTAAATTATCATCTGTAGATATCTGTAATCAAAACCAGACTTTAGGTGATTAAGAATTTGGTGACATAGAACATATCAGTGGAAATAAGGAGTATTATGGGGTTGAAGGTTGCTTCTAGGTGCACTAAAGAACATAAGAAAAATACATGATGAGCTTTGGGCTTTCAATTCCAAGCTTATGATCTAAGTAAGGGTCCAGAAATCTTCTCTGCCATAAAAGAAACCCTTCTCTCATGTAACTTACTAAGATTTCTAAAAATCAAACCAATGTCTTATCCTGTGGGTGGTTTGAACACACTTGAATCACCAAACTGGCAGGGTCTCTTAGATGAAATTAAAGCACTGAGACTCTGAAAATTGGAATGGGAATATATGTGGGCATATTCTCATGAAGCTGGGATCTTGAACCCCTAAATTCCTTCAATCCTCCTTTGTCCATAACAGCAGCCCATCTTTTCCGGTCTGAGGAGGTTAGTCTTCCCTTGCTTAAAGAATCTGTAATGAGATTCCCTGAGGTAGTTACTTTGCAGCAGACTGCTGGCTGCCCCCTCCTGCTACCTTTATCACTTCTGGATCTATAACCAGATTCAACTCCCAGTAGGTCGTAGACATGTGACCCATAAGGAATTGCAATGTACACCAAAACAAGATTTTTGCTAATTTGTATCAAGAAAAACATGAATAGAATGGGTCTTAAAGGCATTGGTGTAGGTGTTGGGCCAGCCTGACTTTATTGATGGGTTGCACTACATACAGATGCCAATGTCAGCATATTAGATCAAGCATGTTGAGGTGGCTCTAACTATTTGACTGGTTGGCTGGATTGACATATGGACCCAAAGGTGGCCTATACTAAGAGAAGTTGAGATGCCAGACTTCTTTGATATAGAGAAAGGTATTCTATGCTTTGGGGAAATCAGAAGGTAGAGAAGATTTATTATTATGAGACTGGTTTACTCACCCCAGTGTCCTAGGAGAGCACAGAGAACATTCTTTCCACCAAAGCTGTGAAAAATACATTAGGGAGAGGGAGCACTGGCATTTTTGGAGAGTGCTGTAGTGGCTATTTGCTACAAGTGTGGAGTGACCATGGGATCTGCTGCTACTGGATCTGGATCCCTGAGTACCAAGGTGGTGATGGGTCTCAGGGTGGGAGAAGCCAAGCTACCAGAGGTGCAGTGGGCTTGGTTACTCTAATGAGTATCAGAGTTGAAGCAGACGTTAAGATAGTGGTCCATGACTTTGACTAGTTGATCGTGGTGTCCCTGAGCCGAAATAGATAGACTACTAAGGCCTTAGTTGATTTGGATAAGTAGAAGCATTCTGGGTCTGGTAAACAGAGGTCTTAAATATCACAAGGCACATGAACTAGTTCCCAGACTTGAACGAGCTCACTGACCCAGAGCCCCTTGAATGAAAAGGTTGAACTGCCTTTGAGGAAGGTCCTTGCTACAAAGCCAAAAAATTGTGCTGTACATCTTCCTCTTTGCCTTCTTCAAAGCTACCTATGGCCATTTACCAGAGGGAGTATGAATTAGAGAGAAAAGTCGGAGACATAATCATGCCTTTGTTTGTTTGTTTTTTGCTACTGGGCCCTGGATCTGAACCGATATGAATTCCCAAAGACCCAAAATGCCCATGGGAATCACCAGTCAGAGGAGGGGCTTATGGACTGATCAACAAATTTTGGCATGCATTTATCTCATAGTGGTCCCAGTGGTCCCAGTGGTTCCCAAATCAACCTTTGACTATTTCCCAAGCTCCAGAATGCAGAGGTAGGATGGATGTATTACAAACGTGACAGAATCTCCATCATGGTTGCCTGACTCCTGAAGTGAGGGCTATTATGGTAGAAAAGACCAAGTGGAGACACCAGAATGGCCTCTACCTACAAAAGTAGTAAACTAAGAGCAATATTATATTCATAGAGACATTCAGGTATTAGTGCAATTGCCAAATTATAGAAGGATGCAGGAGTGATTATTCTTACCACATCTCTATTCAGGTCACCTGTTTGTATCAAGAGAAACATGAATGGAATGGTATTAAGGCATTGGTGTAGGTGTTCGGCCTATTTAGTCTTCAGTTATAGGACTTCTGGGCTCTCTGTCTTACGCCTGAAGAACTCCTGATTTTGTTTTTTTAATTGTGCTGGTGCTTGAAGGTGTTAGAGGACAAAGTGTTCAGGGAAGTAAAAGGTTGAGCGGGAGGTGGATTCTAATGTCTCAGGGGGAGAACTCCCTTTAGGGTGAGAGATGGCAGGAGAGCCTCTCGTTTTACTTTCTCACTTCTGTTGTAGGCTCACTGCAGACCTGAGAACAGTTGGCTTTGTTTTGTTTTCTGCTCTGTCTCATCTCCTTTCAATAGCCTCCAAATTTATCCAGTAGTTATGCTAAGCAGTCTTCAAACCATCCCCTTCCCAAGGGTTTGGGTAGTCCCTGAAATCTGGGATGCTTCTTTCATAAACCTTGTGATGCTGCAGTCTATCAGCAATCAGCATTGGGCAGGCTGGCAAGAGATAGCTCTCTGCATCTTAGAATCAATTCTATCAACGGCGATCTTCTCTTATCTGGTGGGCTGTTGGAGGAGGCCTGTTTGTACCAACTGTCCTTTTCACGTGCCTACTTGAAGTTTGATTTGTGGTTGCTGCCAAGAATGGAGTGCGGCAACTGTTCTGAGCCAGCACAGCAACCAGGGACAGAGGCATAGCCTCAAGGTGTGTTTTATGCTCTCCCATCTGCGGGTTCGATTAACTGAAGGGGTGCTACTCAGGACTCTTCATTTAACCTTCCAGGATGTTTTCCCATGTAATCATTCTTCCCTTTGGTTGCTCCTTCTTCTTGCATTTCCTTATCTCTTTACAGAGCCATCCAGGAATAACTTTGTTCCTCCCCTAGGTGCTATATTTGATTGATACAATTTTGAACATTTGGCTGGTATATTGATATGGCCATGGTGGAGGGACCTAAGCAACAACATCTCCTGTGAAGGACTGATTTTTTAGTGCTGCTAAGAGGATTGTCATAAGGAGAAGAAAGGAGTGCATTTCCTAGGGCAAACATCTCTCATTTAAATGCAAAATCACACTGTGAAGGGCATATTTCTGTGGATTATTTTTAAAAGATTTTATTTATTTATTTGACAGAGAGAGACACAGCGAGAGAAGGAACACAAGCAGGGGGAGTGGGAGAGGGAGGGGGAGAAGCAGGCTTCCCGCAGAGCAGGGAGCCCTGTGTGGGGATCCCAGGACCCTGGGATCATGACCTGAGCGGAGGGCAGACACTTACCGACTGAGCCACCCAGGCGCCCCCCTGTGGATTCTTCAAGTTGCTCAACTCCTTCCTGATTTCATGGCCTTTTCTATCTAGTCTTAATCCCTTGATAATCACATGACACATGACTGGCACTATCTCCCTCATCCCAACCCTCCATTCATTTTCTCTTACTAAGATATGAGTTCTTTCAGTGATGATATTTGTGTTAGTCTGGATATCAAAAATCTCTCTTCCTCTCAGGCTCTAGGTTTCTGGATAAAATGCTACTCATTCACTCACTTTATCAGTCAAAAAATGGTTTGATGGGCATTTAGTAGATGCCAGACTCGTGATACAAAAAGATGAGTCTGTATTCTTATAACCACAGCACAAAGAGCAAAGTGCTGCAATGGAGAGATGTAGAAATATTGTGGGATGGGAAGAGAAGCTCCCAAGTCTGCCCTGGGAAGGCAGTGACAGCTTCATTCCAACTGAGATCTCAAGGATGGGTTGCATTTTGTCATTGGGCAAATTGAGACATGTTTTCTGAACAGAGGTAGCAACATATCCAAAAAGGGCCAGAGAAAGGCTGGGTGACTGGGGGAATTACAAGTCGCTCAGTATTACTGAAGCATAGTTAATGGAGAAAGGGTGAGAATGGTGGAAGAGGAGGCTGGATAGGAGCCAGTTTAGGAATGGCTCATTTGCTGCAAAAGTGTGGAGTTTGTCCCTACGTCAGTGGTTAAAATATTGTGGTCAAAACCACACTAATATAAAATTTACCATCTCTACCATTTCTAAGTGTGCACAACAGTGGTGTCAACCATATGCAGATTATTGTACAATAATCACTATGAATTTTTCAGTTTGCAAAACAGAAACTACATACCATTGAACAAGAGCTACCCTTTCCTCCTTCCCACAACCTCTGGTCATCACCGATCTATTTGTCTCTTGAGTTTCACTACTTTAGATGCTTCATATAAGTGGAGTATTTGTCTTTTTGAGACCGGCTTATTTCACTCAGCATACTGTCCTCAAGGTTCATCCATGTTGTAACATAGGACAGGATTTCCTTCTTTTTTTAGGGCTAATATTCCACTGCGTGTAGTTATCATGTTTTCTTTATCTAGCTACAGTCGACATTTAGGTGCTTCCACCTGTTGGAGTGTTCTTTTTTTTTTTTAATTGTGAAATTGATCACCTATACATGTAGGGCTTATAATTTGCATGTACAGCTTAGTGAACAATTATAGAGCAGGTGCTCATGTAACTATCGCCCAGATTAAAAACTAGAACATAGCCAGCAGGTGCCCCCTTTGTGAGAAGATTTTAAATCAGATTCTACCTCTTTAAGACATTGGGCTACTTATATTTTCAAATTTTCTTGCGTCAGTTTTGGTGAGTTATGTTTTTCTAAGAATCAATCAATTTTCTAATCAAGATTTTCAAATTAATTATCATAAAGTTATATTTTATATATAATATATATCATTATATTATAATAAAAATATTTTTAATGTCTGTAAAATGTGGAGTGATGCCAAACTTAGGAAGAAACTGAAACAGCATCAGGGTGGGAAAGACAGGGTAAGGCAGTAGGGATATGGCAAGGGTTTAGAAACCAGGCCCTGGTGCTCCAAAAGAGTGTTCAGAATCTTCTAGGGAAGGTGGACAGATAACGACATACTCAAGAAACAAGCAGGGGTCCTACACTTCAGGGACCCTGAGCATACCAGGACTCGGGAAAAAGAGGTCTGCCCGGGGTGTAACTTAACTTCTTTCCTCCTTCTCTCTCTCTCTCTCTCTTTTTTTTTGTTTTGTTTTTGGGCCCTCGGCAGGAAAATGAAATGTCCTTTAAGCATTTTCTCCTGGGCAGAGTAGCCTGGGGGAGGGGGTGAGTATGTGAGCATTTATTATTGTGAACCTTTGGGGGAATTGCTGGTCCTAGTGGAGATTGGGGAAGTCCTAACCAATGTCATGATTTGCCTTTAACAAATTGTGGGTGGAGTGACCAGCTTTCTCCAGACTGCTTCTTGGACTGGGGGGAGTCCTGGGAGTAACAGAATGAAATGAAAACCAGATGAGGATGTTGGTTTTCTCAAGTTCATAACTTTCACATCATGAGCCTCATCAAGATCATGGAAAGTTCTGACTTGCATGAAAGTATTTATTTCTTTATCCTATCTATCGCTTTTCAGAAAGCTCATAAAAGAAGTCACATTTTTCCCCAAAGGAAACATTAAGCAGTCTTAAGATAAGGGTGACACCCTAGGCCTGTGACTCCTTCATCTACCCTTTTTTCGAAGCTTACTGCCTATGGAGAATGGTGACTGCTTTAGGACGATGGGTCCTTTAGCTCACTCTTGGGCCTGAGACTTACTAAAGTTTCCCTCCGGGACAGAGGATGGGCCCTTCTCCCATTGAGCTTCTTTGCTTTGCCTGTCAGGTCATCTCATTATTAGCTGGATGGAATTCAGGAGAACTTGGTCCCGGGAACATCCCAGCTCTAGGCTCTGAGAGATTTTACAGAAAGGGTCTTGTGTGGTGAATATGCTCCCTGCCACCTCATGGGGAACAAATGAAGAACTGTTGGGGTTAGAAGGTGAGGGTGTTTAACTCAGAACGGAGTGGCTTTGCCTGGGTTGGGGTGGGGCAGGTATGCGTGGCAGCTGTCTGGAAGCATTATATGGACTGTCATATGGTATGTGTTTTGTTTGTACCTATGGTTTCATACATAGGGTGGAATAAGGCAGAGGTTGAATTCCAGATACTTTCTCACCAGGTTGTTGTCTGAATAGCCAGATGGGAGAGGCTGGGATGCAGGCTGGTGGGGAAGGAGGTGGCTAGGTGAACTAAAGCCCTCTTGCTGCTCAAAGTGGTTACGTCTTGGAGAGTACTGGCCTGGCAGTCTGGACACCAAGCTTCCCATTCTGGCTCTGGGGATAACTCCCTGAATGTCCTCACGTGGCCATTCCCCTTTCTGTGTCTCAGTTTCCTCATATTCCACAGGAGGAAGTTGTTCTATATTGGTGGGTTTCAAAAATTTTAATTTTTTTGGGTGCCTGGGTGGCTCAGTCATTAAGCATCTGCCTTCGGCTCAGGTCATGATCCCAGGGTCCTGGGATCAAGCCCTGCATCGGGCTCCCTGCTCAGCAGGAGGCTGCTCCTCTCTCTCCTGCTCCCCCTGCTTGTGTTCCCTCTCTCGCTGTGTCTCTCTCTGTCAAATAAATAAATAAAATCTTTAAAAAAGTTTAAAAAATTTTAAGGCCAGGTATATCTTTTATGAAGGAAAATTTTATACCTATGTCTGTATCTGAAAGAGCTAGAGATATGCTCTTCTGATTGAAGTCAGGGACTGGGGACCTGAGATTATTTCATTCATTACCTTTCTTTCCATTTCCAGGGGCTTCACAGAGCAGTTTAAAAGCCATGGAACAAGATGATAAATACACAGACAACCTTCCATTCTAGTGCCAATAGAACGTATTTCTAGGACCAATGAGCTAAAGAACTGAAATCATGACAATTTTGAGTCTTTCTACTCATGATCATGGAATACCTCTTCTTTTATTTAGTTTTCCTTCGATGTCACTCATCAGAATTTTGTAGTTTTACTTATATAGATCATACACATATTTGGTTTATACTTAAGTATTTCACTTTTTTGGTGCTAATGTAAATGATATGGTGTTTTTAATTTCAAATTCCATGTGTTCATTGCTGGTATATAGAAAAGTGATTGATTTTTGTTTATTACCCTTGTACCTGCAACCTTGTTTTAATTGCTTATTAGTTTCAACTGGGGCTTTTTTTTTTGTTAATTCCTTTTAGATTTTCTATATAGACAGTTATGTCATCTGCAAATAAAGACAGATTTTTTTTTCTTTCTTCCCAATCTGTAAACATTTTCCCTGCCCTTTCTTGTATTATTTCATCCCCTAGAATTTCCAGTATGATATTGAAAAAGAGCGGTGAGAGGAGACATTCTTGCCTTGTACCTGATCTTAACTGGAAAACTTCTAGTTTTACATCATTAGGTATGATAATAGCTGTAGGGTTTTTTGTTTATTTGTTTGTTTTTTTTAGCTGTAGGTTTTTCATAGATATTCTTTATCAAGTTGAGGAAGTTCCCCCTTTATTTCTAGTTTACTGTAAGTTTTTATCATAAATCAGTGTTAGGTTTTGTCAAATGCTCTTTCTACATCTATTGATGTGATTTTTATTTTTTAGCTTGATATGGTGGATTACATTAAGTGACTTTCAAACGTTGAACCAGCCTTGCACACACTTGGTTGGGGTGTATAATTCTTTTTAAAACATTATTGCAGGGGTGCCTGGGTGGCTCAGTTGTTAAGAGTCTGCCTTCGGCTCAGGTCATGATCCCAGGGTCCTGGGAATGAGCCCCACATCGGGCTCCCTGCTCAGCGGGAAGCCTGCTTCTCCCTCTCCCACTCCCCCTGCTTGTGTTCCCTCTCTCGCTGTGTCTCTCTCTGTCAAACAAATAAATAAAATCTTAAAAAAAAATAAAACAATAAAACATTACTGCATTCAATTTGATAATGTTTTGTTGAGGATTTTTGCATCTATGTTCATGAGAGTTATTGGTGTGTAGTTTCTCTTCTTGTACTATCTTTGTCTGGTTTTGGCATTTGGGTATAGCTGGCCCCATAGAATGAGTTAGGAAATATTTCCTCTGTTTCTATCCTCTGAAAGAGATTGCAGAGAATTGACATAATTTCTTCCTTAAATGTTTGGTAGAATTTACTAGTATTTACTCTAATTCTATTATTTCTTTTCTTCTGCTTACTTTAATTAAGTTTTTTCTTTTTTCCTAGTTTCCTAAGTTGGAAACTTAGATGATTGATTTTAGAGATTTCTTCTTTTCTAATAATATAGGCACCGACTGCTATAAACTTCCCTTTAAGCA